CCAGGATTTTTGGTGTGTCGTCGTCCCCGTCCCCCCCCCCCCCCCCCCCCCCGCACCCCTTCCTCTCTTCCCGGTTCTGGCAGCTAAGAGAAGGCGTGGCCATTCTAGCCGAAGCCTAGGATTCACCTCTCCCACCTCACCTGCCTGCCTCCTCACATTCTGGTCACTGTTCACTGTTATTGACTCCTGTTGCTGGGGTCGGAGGGCCCCCGGTGAGTGACTGCATTCCCCTGCCAGGAGGAGCTCAGTGCTGTGTTGTGGGGGAAACGCACACATGACCACACCCATGCGTGTTGCCCACAGCAGCCCGCTGTGGCCAGGGAGGCACGGGGCCCTGGTGGATGGATGCCTGGCCCAGGCTGGTAGCTCAGAGAGGACCGCCTGCCCAGGTGGATTTTCGAAGAATCAGGAGGAGTCAGTTACAGGAAGAGGCTTTTGTGCAGAGGGTTTCACAACAGTGTAAGCGCCACGGGGCAAGGAATTTTGTTTTATTACCCCAGTGCCTAGAATAGTGTTTGATACATAGTACCGTGTTTCCCTGAAAATAAGACATCCTCTGAAAATAAGACCTACTTACAGGTTTCCTTCTGAATGAAATATAACGCATCCCCCCGAAAATAAGGCCCCCCCTGGGCTAAATCTGAGAGATTTGGTCCACTGATTCTGAAAAAAAATGGAGTCACAAGAAATTCACCAGGAAATTCAGGAATTGGATTGTTATGATGATGTTCCAGAAAATGATGACATGATTGTCATTGAATAAATGAGTAAATTTTTGATATTGTAGGATTCACAGTTTGTCTGGTTGACAACTATCGTACCGTATACAGGCAGTAAATTTCCTTTATTTTCATTTAACAATAAATGTGTACCGTATTCTTCTTCATGGAAAAATAAGACATCCCCTGAAAATAAGACCTAGCGCATCTTTGGGAGCAAAAATTAATATAAGACACTGTCTTATTTTCGGGGAAACAGCTAGATGCTCAATAAACAGATCTTAAAAGAAAGAGAGACAACAAAGGAAGGAGGAGGGAGAGAAGGAAGGGGGGGGCGGGGAGAGAGCTATCTCCAGAAAGAATGAATGGGTCTGGGTCGGATGTGTGAAGTCCTTGGTGCTTTCCGGGAAAGGAAAAGTTCAGCGTTTTTAGGTGCCAGCAGCTTGGCTGGGTGGGGCTGAGGGCAGTGCCTTATCTAATCCTGATACTGGTGGGTCCATTTCTTATATCCCCACCCCCTGGGGCCCCAGAGCTACTGGGACCCTTTTTCCTCTTGTGGTCCCTATAGCTCCCTTGGCCTCCGCTGGATGTTAACATGCAACAGGTATTAAACTGGTGCTGGAGACACACCGATGACTCACAATTAGTTCCTTCCCCCTCCCCCCAGTCTGGCTGGTTGAGACAGACAGTAAACAAGTGGCTACAACAATGGCAGCATGAACCCAGAGCTACCATGTAGCTTCAAACAAAATGAGACCCAGCAGAAGGATGGCTATTGGTCTGGAAGAGAAAAGCAGGGAGAGAGGGAGGGGTGTTCCCGTGGAGGAGATGCCTTGGGTGGGGATGTCAGCCTACAGGAATGGAACGGTAAAGAAGGGGGTTGAGCCTGGCTGGTGCGGCTCAGTGGCTGAGCACTGACCTATGAACCAGGAGATTACAGTTCAATTCCTGGTCAGGACACATGTCCAGGCTGATGCTTCCATCTCGTGCTCCCTCTCCCTTCCTCTCTGAAATCACTAAAAATATATTTAAAAAATAATAATAAAATAAAAATAAAGAAGAAAAGAAAGGGGTTGAGGTGGGAGGCATTCCAAGGGGAAAAACCAGGCCCAACAATGTGGTGGTGGTGGTGGGGGGCAGAGTCGGGGAGATAGGGTGGGGTTTGATTATGGTGCCTGGGCATTTGGGCTTGTTTCTTATGTGACTGCACTTGGGATCCCAGTGCCAGCGGCTGCAGCCGTCAGCTCCCTTCTCTCCAGAGGCTGGGGCTCCCTGGTTCGTGTTCTCTCTCTCTCTCTCTCTCTCTCTCTCTCTCTCTCTCTCTCTCTCTCTCTCTCGCCAGGGCCCTCCCGCTGTCTCTTTCAGCTCCACCAGGAACCTACTGACCTGGGGCCTCCTTTTGTGTCAAGCCTCAGCAAACAGACAGAGTGCCTGGCCCAGGTTCCCCAAAAGTCATCCCCATCTTCCTGCCACACAAGCTCTGGAAGGAGGTTTTGGTCCTTTTTCCCCAAGGTGGGATGGGGAAAGAAAACCATTGGAGGGAAATCAGCATCGGAGAACATTCGAGTCTCCAGAGATCGTCCAGATCTCTTACCCGCCTCCCCCGTTCCCCATTGGACAGATGAGGAAAATGATGCCTGTGCTGCAGCCCTGACGCTGACAGGGCATGGCCCATTTGGTGGTGTCCATGATGAGAAGGGCTGGAGAAGGGCCCTGTTTTCCTTTTAGCCAGGACCTAGCCAACACTCCTACTTTGTGGGCCTTGCAGACCCAAGATGAGTCAGGCTTCTTGTGAGTCAAGTCTGTTGACAAGCATCCCTGGCCATTCCTCGCCCATCAAAAACAGAAGTCCAGGGGAAAGGTTCGAGCAGGCCAATTTAATTAGTGTGGGCTCTGAGGTACCTTAAGTTAGCCCTATTAAATTAAACTGCCTCGGGGAAAAAAAATAACTGTAATTATTTCCTTCTCTCCCCCATCCTTGTATTTCAGTTCCCTCCCAAACGCCAGGCCTCGCCCACTCACAAAACAACCTTTAAACGAGGGGCTAAGCAGAGTCAACCATAGGCTAAGGTTCAGCGTTTCCCTTTTTCTGTCCTCTTCTCCCGAGAGCTCCAGGTTCCGGCGGAGAACAGAGTGCCTCCAGAGGCGTCCCTAGGGCTTGGCTGTATTCTAATTTAGGGAGGCTGTTCCACCGAGAACATTATTCCAAAAATGCACCCAGCGTCTCCTTCTTGAACCAATGCAGATCCGTTTGCTGCGGGGCATTTCTTTTTAAAAGCCCCTTCCCTCCCTCCTACAGATCAAAATAAGCAAACTTTAATGGTAGGGAATGATTCTTTATTTTGTTGAAATCCACTTCTGAGTTTTTCCACTCCAAACGTTTCCCCAGGACACTGACCTATCCTTTAATTGTTTGGAGCTAGGCATGTTAGGGGGAGGGGCGTTACTTGTTTATTGGAACAGCGCAGTTAAAAAAAAAAAAATCAACCTAGGCTAACAGTTTCAAGGCTCCCCTAAAGATGTATCCAAACAGGCAGCCAATCAGCGCTTACACAGCTTTTTCTGCTCGACTCTTTTAAAGAGACAGTGCCGGCCGTGTTTTATCGCATTTAAAGAGAACCGCGCTCTAAAAAAAAAAAAACATTATGAAAATGGGGGAGCCCTCCCTATTGCGCTGGGTTTTGGTCTTCAAGAGTCCCTCACGAGGGACCTACTGTGTCCTCGGCGTTCTCGGCCTGGGTCAAAAGGAGTCAGCAGCAAATAGCTGGGTCACTCTCTCTGCCAGCCTCCCGTCAATTTCCCATTGTACACCTGGGTCACTGACAATGGGCGCTTCCCTTCCCCCCACGCCCGACTCCCGTCTCCCACTCCCCAATTTAGCTCCGTTTATTTGAAGTTTGCAGATTCCTGTGGCGCGCATTCCGCGTCGCCGGGCGCCCAGGAGACGCCCCCCCGCACCCCCCCCAATCCGGGAATGCCACCGTCTCCCCCAAGGCCAGGGGCTTCACTGGCCAGTGCGGGCCGATCTTAGAAATTGGGGGGCAATTGCTCTCCCTGATCTTAGCCCGAGCCCCCCCATTCCTCCCCCAAGCAAGCCCAGGGCCCTGTCCACGCGGCCCCACTTCGGGGCCCTCCGAAGTGTTTTAACGATCCAGTAAAGGAGCAGCCGCGCGCCCCGGCGCCGGCTCCCGCCGCCCCGCTCGCAGCGTGGAGCCCGGGCCGGGCGCTCGGGAACCAGACTGGGCGAGAGGGCGGCCGGGGGCGGGGCTGCTGAGGGAGGGGGGGCGGGTTGTAGTCTGGAGGTGGCCGGGGTCGGAGCCCGGGGGGAAGCCGGGCGGAGGGGAGGGGGGCGGTGAAGGGAGGGCCGCCGCGGGCCGCTCAGCTTGGGGAGGTGAGGGGCCGATCAGAGACGTGGCGCGGGGGGAGCCGGGGAGCCGGGGAGCCGCGGAGCCGCGCCGAGGGGTCCGCGCCCCCTCCCCTCCCCTCCGCCGCTGCCGCAAGCCCGCTCCCGCCCCCAGCGGTCCGCGCCGCGGGGAGCGCTGGCCGAACCCCCTCCTCGCTGCGGCCGGCAGCCCAGGGCGCCCCGGTCTCGACTCGGGCCCCCTTCCCCACATCTACAGAAACGAGAGGCTCGCGCCCCGTCCGTCCGTCCGCCCGTCCGCCCGTCCGCCCGCCCGCCCGCAGGAACAGGGCAGCGGCTCCTCGGCGGCGGCCGCAGCGGGGACTGGCGCGGCTGGGCGCTGACAGGGCGTCCCCGCGGCCGCCCCGGGCCCGCCCCCGCGCGCCGATTGGCCGGCGCGGCTGTCCATCACAGGACGCTGACGCCCGCCCGCTGCCTCGCCGGGGCAGCCACGTTCGGTTGAGCTCCGAGTAGACCAGCGGCGGCGGCGGCAGCAGCGGTGCCGGAGGCGCAGAGGGCGGCGCAGGCGGAGCCGGGCGGGCGGGCGGGCGAGCGAGCCAGCGGGCAAGCCGGGCCGGCGGGCGAGCGGCGGCGGCGGCGGCGGCGGCACCGGCACCTCAGGCCGAGCCGGCGCGGGAGGAGTTCCAGGGCGATGGGGCCGCGGCCGGGGCTGACGCTTTGACAGCTGGAAAGAGCGCGGAGCCAGCAGCGCCTGGGGGGGCGGGAGGGGAGCGCGGCGAGGAGAGCGCGGGCGAGCGAGCGGGCGAGCGAGCGGGCGCCGGGGAGGGGGCCGGGAGCGAGGGGCAGCTCGGGAGCAGCCGGAGCGGTAGCGGCAGCGGCGGCGGCGGCGGCGAGGCTCGGCGCCCTCTTCTCTGCAAACCATGTTTGCCAAAGGCAAAGGCTCGGCGGTGCCCTCGGACGGGCAGGCTCGGGAAAAGTAAGCCCTGGGTTCCAAGTGGCCGCCGGGCTGCGGGCGGGCGGCGGGCGGGCGGCGGGAAGCAGGTGGGCGGCGGGGGCGCTGCGCCCCGGGCCCCGGCGCCGCCTGCCTGGCCCCGGCCCCGAGGCCGCGGCGGGCGGCGTGGGAGGGAGAGCCCATTGTTGGGAGCCGGCTGAGGTGGGGGCGTCGGGGAAGGGGCGGCGGGAGGCGCCGCCGGGGGAGGGGGCGCTCGGTGGCCGCGGGGCGTGCCGCGGGCCCGGGGGTGGTGGGCGAGGTCCCGCGGGCGAGCGAGCGAGCCGGAGCGCCCCGGCCGCCCCACTCGGGGCGCGCGCCGCGGCCGCCGCACTTTGCCCACCGGGCGCGGGCAGGGGGCGCGTGGCTCCCGCAGCCCCGGAGGCTCCTTTTGTCCGCCCGCCCGCGGCGTGAGGAGTGCGCACCGGGGGCTTTGTTCGGCCGGGAGCGCTCTCCCTGCCCTGCCCTCGGCCTCGCCGCCGCTGCTCCCGTGCCCTCCCGGGCGCCGGGCTGGGCAGGGACCGACGGCGGCGCCGCTTCGGCCCTCGGCTCGGGGGACAGTTGTTTTGCTGGGGGAGGGAGTGAGGGTGGCGCTTCGCTGCCCACTCTGGAGCTCCCCAAGCGCCCTGGAGTCCGGCCCCGAGCCCCCGGACCCTCGGCGCTGGGCAGAGGGTCCCCAGGAGTGTGTATCGTGAAAATGAGAGGGAAGCGGTGCGATCGGGTGGTTTTCCGAGTTTGCGAGACTTCAGTGGGGTTTGGCCCCCGACGCCACTTGGAAGTTCAAGTTTGGGTGGGGGCTCCTCTCCAGGTCCCCTCGGTGTAAGGTCAGGCGTCCCCGGGCACCCAGCCCCCTAACGGCTTCCTCCCGGGGGCTCCAGGCCAGGGCCGAGCTGGCCGCTCACCTCTCCGCTCGGGGCCACAATGGGACCGCGCAGGCAGGGCTGGAAGCCGACTGGCAAGTCCGGGAGCTGCTGCCCCGTGCGACCTGACACCTTCCCCTCTGTCTCTGCCCCCTTCCCCCCTCTCCAGGTTAGCTTTATACGTCTACGAATATTTACTGCACGTAGGAGCACAGAAGTCCGCACAGACCTTCTTGTCAGAGGTGAGTGCAACTCCCCCGCCCCCCCCCTCCCGCGCCATCCAATTTCTAGACACCCCTTCCTCCCCACCGTTCTTAGAGCCTTTGTTTTCAGGATCAGCCACTGTGGCCACCATTTTGAATTTTTATCACCTTTTGGCATTTATTGTTAGTTGGTCTTCACAGCCTTTTGGCTCCAGGAAGCCCCCCTCCCTCCTCCTTCCCCCCCACGCACCCCTTCCCTCTGCTCCTCTAAGCTGCCTCTGCTCTCTCCTTTCTAGATTCGATGGGAAAAAAACATCACGTTGGGCGAACCACCTGGGTTTTTGCATTCGTGGTGGTGGTAAGTTTTGTGTGATAGTTTTGTGTGTGTGTTTGTTTTGTCTGAGTCTCTGGTCCGAGGGAACAAAGACGGGAGCTTACAGGAGCAGACCCCACTAAGCCTTCCCCTCCGCCTTGCACAGAGCAGGGCACTCAGACCGGGGCCCTGTGAGCAGGGCAGAGGAGGCTGGTGCCTAAAGTTTTTGCCTCCTCTCTCCCCTGCTGTGGAGAGCCCACTAAATCATGCTTGGTGTTTGGAGAGAAACTCCTTACTTTTCCGTCTCACTCCCGGCCGGCCGCTAGGCAGGCTTGGGGGAAAAAAACCTTGAAGGATTTTTGTCAGTTCTGCATGCTGCTTTAATTAGAGGGAGTGGGGGTGGGGCGGGGTGGAGGGGGATACCAGGTCTGTTTTACAACTGGCCTATCCTTTCTTTTACTATGAACTCAAAACCGAGAGAGAGAGAGAGAGAGAGAGAGAGAGAGAGAGAGAGAGAGAGAGAGAGAGAGAGAGAGAATTGCAGCCTTTCCAGGCACCCTGAGAAAAAAGCAAGAAGGGGCTGCAAATTCTTTTAAAGATACTGATTCAGACTGACTGGACCTTCCTCTCCTCTGTGGGCTGCCCCCCTCCCGGCATCCCTAAAACCACAAAGTTTCATTTTACTGAAAACCTTAACTTGTCGTGGCTGTTGACCTCCCAGAGCACCCTTAGGGGGTGGTTAGGGGCTCTCTTTCCTCTCTTTTCTCCGCTGCTGCCGCCCCTGGGTCCTGCTGGGGTGGGACCACCTCAGCCCGGGCTTGGTTTGCCTGCAGGCCGCAGGGTGGCTTCAGGTCAGGGAGCCCGTGCTGTGGAGGGAGACCTGGACGTGTTGTGTGACTGATGGGTGCGGGGTCTTTGACATCCTCTTGAAGCAGGGAAAAGAGAGCGGAGTGGCTTTGATATTTTGGCGGAGGTCGCGAGAATGGAGTGCCATGTCTTGGGATCTTAGCGCGTTTACCTGACCGCCAGCTCGGGTTACTGCTCCAGGTCCCTTTGAAATGCAGGCGGGTGAAGTGTCTGTTCTGCCCGGTGCAGGGAAAAGGAGTTTTTAGTCACTTCAGCCAACCTGGGAACTGCCTCCCAGTGTTGGAGGCATTGGGTGTGGCAGGAGGATTTGACCTGTCAGAGTGGGCGACGGCTTCTCTGGGGTTGTGTTTAGAGAGAGAGGAGTGTGGATTGGTGTGACAGATCTGACCATCAGAAACCGAGGCTGCAGAATCGTAGGTCTGTGAGTGAAAGTTCCTTCGAAGGGGCTGGGGAGTTGGTACTGTTAGGAATCTTCGGTGTGTGGAGGAGTTGATCAAACACGTGCAGCTTTAGAGGACAGAAAGGAATGTTCTTGGGGCCCCCTCTGCAGCTGGTAGAAGTCCCCGATTTTCATCTTCCTGAAACGCCTCCAGCCTTGTCTGGTTCTGGCCTCTGGTCGTGGTCTTGTTAGAAAGTGCCTCGTGATGCGACACGGAGCAAGTGACCACGGCCTTTGGGGTGGCAGGAGCGGTGGAGCTGACTGACCCAGAGAGGGCCACGCTGTGCTCTTCATACACCTTGAGAGAGACGCCCGTCTGATGGCTGGCAGAGCTGCGGCTGAGATGGCTTCTCCTCTGCTGGCTGTTGGCAGCAGGGGCAGGCGCACTGTAGCAGGAATCGGACTCCTGTTCTGGTGCCCATGGTACCCTTCCGTCAGCATCCATCCCGGGGCCTGGGAGAAGGTTTCTAAGGCCTCATGTTAATGCAGTGACTACCCTGTGCTTGCATAGGGTTTTACTGTCGGTAAAGGACTTGTAGTATGCTCTCACTTGATACGAAGTGTCAGAGTGACCTTATAAATCATGGAGGGGGATGAGGCAGGGATAGCTACCATCCCACCTCCTCCAGATCCCTCCTTTGCTGGACCGGTGGGTAGGTGCCTCTTTGAGGAGGGCGCTCTATTTCAATATGAAAGGGCAAGATACGTGGTTGACCTTTGGCTAACTGATACTTGTTCTTTGGTTGGATGGGGGAGGGGCCTTTTGGGGGAGGGGTCTGGCTGGGAGTGGGGGGTGAGATCCAGAAGAGTGGGGGGTATGGGATCGTGGAATAAAAAACCTGTAAGTTTCCTTTATTGGCAGAGCCACCCAGTTGGCTGTGCTTATGAGTCATAGTCCTGACTTTGGCAATTTAACCTTTTGACTGAAGGCAACCATTTGGGGTTCGGGGGTGCGACAAAAGGAGCACAGATGAGATGCCTGCCTGGATCCTCATACAGATTCCTCCCAGTCCTGCCTGGGCAGCCATGGGTGGGCAGCACTAAACTGCCTGAGCTTCAGTGCCCCCCTGTATAACCTGGGGACACATCTCCTGCCTTAAGCAGTGTGGTAGTCACAAGCAGAGCCTTACGTGGTAAGGCATTTAGCACACAGTAGGTAGGCGCCTGATACATAAGAACTATTACTCTTGTTCCAAGTAGCTGGCTTGCTGCAGGAGGTTAGGTCCATTTTGTTTTCTAGGCCAGCTTTGCCCAACGAAGGCTGGAAAAGGGGGAGAGGGGTTTGAGCCCTGGGAGACGGGGGGGCCGTTCACACTGAGCATTGTGCACTTGCCGTTGTGCACACGAGTCATAAGTAGTAACCTGATCTTATTTTATTTTTCAACTTGCAGCGTGTTTTGGGACCTTTACTGTGCAGCTCCCGAGAGGCGAGACACTTGTGAACACTCAAGTGAAGCAAAAGCCTTTCATGATTACGTGAGTAACAAAATTTTAATCCCGGCAATAATTACAGGGTTGGATAGCTCTGACTTCTTTGGGACCAGAAGCAAGCACACAGCCCATTGGCAGTGGGTTTTGTTTCCTCCTCGCCTTTCTTCCCTGCCCACCTCCTTGCTGCCCCAGCCCTGTACCCCCTCCTCCAGCACCGTTCTGACTTCTTGGTGAATGGTATTTCATAATGTTGTCATTACGCAAACGCGTGTGTAGATACCTATCTGCGGAATTACACGGCGCTGAGCAGGGCTCAGCCATGTGCGGTTTATGTTCAGAGTGGACAGTTAGCTGGGAGGGGACTGCTTTTGGGGTTGGTTTAAGAAAAAAAAATGACAGCCAAAAAGGGAAAAAAAAAAAAAAAAAAAAAAGGCAAATAGGAAATGTGTGTTTTGGAGCAGAAGGGGCGTTGAGTGAGAATTTGGTGAAATGGACTTTTGCATTACCCTCCGGGAAGTGATCTTTCCAGTTATGTTTTGGGTGTTTGTTTTATGTTTGGTTTGGTGGGGGGCTCATGTTGTGTCTACTGAGGTGAAGGATACGTTGAAGTCCTTGGTTCAAAATATTCTTATAAGCATGTTTAATGTCAGCACATTGTAATGCTTTCTGTTCTATCATTCACCGTCTCCCTGGATGAGTTCCTTGAAATGAATGAAATGCTTATCGGAGAGACCTCTGCCCCATGTCCATCTTACGTGACAGTCTCCCTCAAAAAAACAAAACAAAACAAGTACTCCAAACCTGGGTTGGCGTTGGACTCTCTGATCCGATGAAACAGGTTAGGATCTTCTGGGGGAGTTGGCAGTGTCTGGAGGTCTTCCCAGCCTCCTTTTAGTCTGCTTCCGTTGGCCTCGCACGCATGCCCCGAAGAGGCAGTCTGTTTTTGTCTTACGCCTCTGCACGATGTGGAAAGGACTAGTCCCCTCACTCTGAGGCACGGAAGCTGGTTTTCTGACCGTCATCCGGGGCCCACCCCCGTGGCCGGGCCGTTGAGTCCCCTGCATGCAGAGTTTGAAACTGGCCTAAGAGGCTAGAACCCATCAGGCGGAGTTTCACAAGTGGTCCAATCCCATTACCATGGATATCTTTATGGTGAAAATTTCCCCTGCAACACGAGGAGTTAGAGGCTCAGCTGGAGGCGGCCTGGATTTGAGAATATTCAGTGTGATGACATTCTGCCGTGACTGAAAAGTTAATGCCCTCAGAGTGTGGAGGGCCGAGGAAAATCACCAGTTCCCATGCCCTCTCCAGGGCGAACGGTACTTAGGGCCGAGTCAACTTCCAGTAGAGAAAGGTGAGGTGACTCGTTCCCTTGTGATGTGGTTCTGGGAACATCCAGGAGCTGGAGGCTGGAGGAGCAGGAGGCTGAGAGGTGTATTAGTCATAGAAAAAAATAGTTGGCGAATTTGACCTTTCTACCTAGTAAAAGGCTTGTGCTTTAAACAAAAAGCTATGGACAGCCAGTTCCTGTGTGGCCAGCCTTCTACGACTATGCAAATGGTTTTATTTTAGAGTGGGGGGGATGGGTAGGTGTGCCTGTTTCATGCCAGCCTGTGCTTGCTACCTTTTGAAGCTGCCTTGCAGAGAGGCTAGTGATTTCTAACTGCGTTTAGCGCTCTCGTGAGTAACGTGAGACCCTCTTTGGCAGTTTGTGGTTCCGCCTGCCACCTTGACACAGCGTGGCGGTTGGGAAACCTGCATGGGTTTGCATTCAGTCATTTGTTAAGAAACGGCAGCAGAATTGTGGTCGTGATTTCTGAAGTTGGCGGGGGCATATAGAAGATGCTTTCGAGAGACGAGGCCTGGGATTCGCAGATTTTAGGGTCCAAACCCCCTTTCCTGGATTGGAATCCACCTGCTGCTGCTCTGTGGCCTGAGAGAGAGTCAGATTGAGTGGGAGGAGAGATGGAATGATGAACGGGGACAGGGAAGGAATGCCTCTTTGGTGAAGGAGTTGGGGAGGTAGCCTTGAGTTGCTGGGAAGACGAAGAAAGCAACTGGAAAGTTAAGAACTATTTAAGAAAATCAAGAAAAGGAACGCTTATCCTCAAATCTCCATGTGTTCTCTGCATTCCCATGTTGTTGCTAGAATTATTATTATTATTAACATATTCTCTTTTCTGGACCCTTGTCTGGAATGTATGCTTCTCTTACACATGCACATCCTGTCCATCTTTTATGTTCTCTGTCGTGGAGGGTTTTCAGGATAGTTTCTTGTACACTCTGATCACTCCTTCATCTCAATGTCTATAAAAACCACCTATACAGAGCCTTTGTTGGCTTTCCCTGTGCTGGGAGAGAAGGCATGTTAACTCCATTTTGCAGGTGGAGAAATCGAGGCACAGGGAGGTTAATTCACAGCTGATAGGCGGAAGGATTAGGATCTAAGCACAGGTCATCCATGACTCCAGAATCGGTTCTCCTACCCGCGCAGAAGCTCGGCCTCACAGGTCCATGGCAACACCTGTTCTGACTGTCTTCTCATTCAGGGCTGGCTTTCCAACCACAGCTTGTTCATCTTTTCCATGCCAGAGACCATTCATCCGCAGCTATTCATCTCTGTAGCTCACAAGCCCTTGTACATAGTAGGCACTCACGCTAATTAAATGAAGGAGTAAGGAACTACGTAGGAAACATATGTAACGTGGGGTCCGTAAGTAACCTGGTCTGGGACAGCCCATGGAATGCTGGAGAGGTGTTCTTTCGGTGACTCCATTTTTTTTGCTGGGTGATCTTGAGCCAGGTCATGTAATGTGGGTTAAGGCGTTACCTTAAAAGTCTTGGTAGAAGATGAAGTGCAGCATAAGTAAGAGTGCAGTAACTGGCCTTTCCTCTTCAACCAAGGAGGTTCAGAGATGCTCACGGTTTGTGGGGGAGTCGGTGTGGCCCAGGTACCAGGTTGGGGCCTTGGTGGGTAGTAAGCAGTAAGCGCTTACTGGGCAGGGGTGAGGAGTGTGTGCCTGATTCCCGCAGAGCTGTCCGTCGGAAGGCCCCGGTCTCGGCCCTCGGACGGAAGTAGCTGGTTTTGTGTTCTGGCAGGTTGCTGATGGATCCCCGTGATCTCAAAGGCTCCTCTCAGGCCAAGGCCAGGCGATCGGGCCTGGAACAAGCCGGATGACTCAGCGGGGAGGGGGTTTAAATTTTCTTTGAATTGGTGAGTTTTCATTTGAGTCACAGTCTATTTTCTCCCACACATCTGGCCACTTCAGGTTGCTTGGCTCATTGTTCCTAAGCCCGCGTGCCCTGATGCTGACCACGGATGACGTGGACCATCGGGGGACGTGGAGCCCCGAGTGGACTTGACTGAGACATGGATTTGCCTGTAGTCAGAAGAGCCCTGAGGCCATAGAGGAGGCCCAGGGCCCCTGCCCATGGTTTCCTGGCTGTCTCCCTCTGGCTGAAGCAGCGGCTCTGAGCGTGTGGGTGAAAGCCTGTGCGGTCCCATTGGGCTTTCTTAAGCTTTGGTCTGGGCTCTGGCCTCGATGGCATTGATGCTCCCAGTCTCTCACGGTGGGCCCAGGGGGGGTCCTGGCGACCTCCTTCGTGGGATCGGTGGGGTTGGTGGAAGTGTCTTTGGTGTCTCCTCAACCACCAGAAGCCCTTCCCCTTCTTGTGGCAGCTAATTTTGTATTTTCCTCTTGGAGGCCAGAAGTGAGTGGCGCAGATAAGTCCCTGAAGGGGAAGGCGCCGACAAGCAGCGATGGGTTCCTGCTGCTGTCCTTCTCATAGTGCTTTTTCAATATGTGGCTGTGGTTTGGCCTGTTGGTCAGGTTTTTATTAAGGTCTCATCCCAGGCAATGCAGCCATTTTTCAGATGAAGAAACGGAGACTTGGGGGTTTAGATGCTTTGTCGAAGGGCATGTAGCCAGGCAGTGGAGGGAAGAGGCTTGCTTTGGACTCAGAGAGTGCCCATACACGTTCACTGAAGAACTGAATTCAGCAGAGAATTAAACTCAAGTTCCTGAGGGGTGAGCTGCAGAGTCCCTGCAGAGGTGGGACCCGCGCTCTGGGGAGGGAGTTGGTTATGGTGCGCTGGCTCTTTTGGCTGGAAGATGTGGTAAAAGCGATGGCCTTTCCTTCCAGATAATGCATGTTTCTCCACAAAGGAGCCTCTTTGTACATGACTTCAGGAGCTTCACGGGCTGCTGCCCCAAATTCCAAACCCCCCTGTGGTCCCCAGTGAGGAACTTGGGTGTGTGTAGTGGACATGGAGTCCCATGACCTTGGCTGGTCTTGCGCCTTAGTCTCCCTACTCTGAAGACCTCTGTCACCGGGACCCCTGAGTCAGCCTCTCTCCGTGGACTGGCTCCCTTACCGCTGTGCTCCCGCCCAGCTGTTCCCTCTGTAACCCCCCACCCTCTGCTGTGACCCTGCCTCTCCCGGCGGGTTGGTTAAGTGTCCTGGGCGTGCATGGGAATGGAGGTATTTGTGGCTCCGTGGCAGGGGTCCAGCGTCCTTGGTGGGTTTGAAATAGCAAAGTGATATTTGAGAGGGCTCTCCTTGGATGTGCTGAGCTGAGGTTCCTGCCAGGCAGGGAGCGTCCACGCCTGCCAGGGCCTTGGGGAGCCGGGGCACGCGAGGGTGGCCAGGGGCAGCGATGGAAGGAGAAGGCTGCAGCTGGGGGAGAGTTCTCCCCCGTGATAAGCCAGGGTAGCTATCGGCCCAGAGGTCCTGACAAGTTCACGGTGTTGCCTTTGGCTCTGACCCTTGGCACGCTTGTGTGGCAGGTTATGAAAGCAGAACGCACACAGTCGTTTCTTTCCCCGCTCCCTCTGGAGCATACACTTTGCCTTGCATCCTTCCTTTGGGCTCCCCCCCCCCCCCCACTCCCGTTTGCTGCGAGTCCTCTTCACCCCCAGAGGCTGCCAGACTCCTCCATTGGTAGCTAATTAAACACCAAATGAGTAACTGGAATTGCGTTTTGCCAGAACCCAGGCAAGGCAGCCTCTTTAATGGGTTTCAAGTGGCAGCAAGACCCCAAATTG